GTTCGACCGGTGATCGATCGACCGACGGCGCGCCTTTCGCGACGCTCACGCGCCTTTCAACGCGTCCCTTTCGCCGTGCCTTTCGAGTCCTCCCGCGCACGCGACCGAACGCCCGCACGGCGCGACGCCCGCGTCGATGGGGCGCCCATCGGACTCCGACGCGGACTCGTGCGCGTCCGAGGGCGAGTGGGTGCGCGCGGTGATCCACGGCGAGCGCGCGCACGCGCTCGTGGAGGAGATGACGCGATGCGTGGAGAACGCGATGGCGAATGATGGGACGCCAGCGGCGCGAGCGGCGCGGGCGCGGGCGCGGCGCGGGCGGGCGCGACGGGCGATGGAGACGATGACGACGGAGATGGCGACGTCGAGGTCGTTCGCGGAGGCGGCGGTGGAGATGGGGGCGTTGGAGGCGGCGCGACGCGCGGTGGATGGGGCGGATGACGAGGAGACGCGAACGCGCGCGCGGGCGCTGGCGGAGACGTGCGCGCGGGCGGCGAGCTCGATCGAACGAACGCGGGAGGAGAGGTTCGGGGAGGTGACGGTGATGGTTTTGGAGACGGCGTTGGCGAACGGCGTGGGGGCGAGGCTGTGGCGGGCGGCGAGGACGATGTGCGCGAGACTGGCGGCGGACGCGAGCGCGATTCGAGGCAAACGCGTGCTCGAGCTCGGCGCGGGCGTCGGGGCGTGTGGAATCCTGTGCGCCAAGCTCGGCGCGCGTGCGGTGGTTCTGAGTGATTTCGAGGAACCGCTCCTCGACGCCCTCGAGCGGTCGATCGCGTTGAACGACGTCGGCGATCGATGCGTCGTCGCCGCGGTGGATTGGCGACGCGAGCTTCGACTCGAGCGCACGCCCGGCGCTCGCGCCCTCGACGACGCCGACGTCTTCGACATCATCATCGGCACCGACGTCTTATACGAGAAATCGCACGTCGACGCCTTACCCGCGTGCATCGCTCGCCGTCTCGCTCCGAACGGCGCGTGCTTCCTCGTCAACGCCGAGCGCTACGCCGGGGCGTTCGACGATTTTCACACCGCGTGCACCGCGCGCGGTCTCCGCGTCCACCACCCCGAGTTCGACGTCGACAGTTCAAAAGCAAAGGACTGGCACGTCGGCGGCGCGCGCGCGTGCGTGGTCACCCATCTCTGACGCGTCGCGTGACGACGACGGCGTTCGCGCCCTCCCTCCGTCGCGCCTCACTCCCACGCGCGCGTCGACGCGAGCGCCCACATCCGCGCCCGCGTTCGCCATGCCATCGTCCCGGACGCGTGCCACCGTCGCGACGACCGCGCGCGCGCTCGTGACGCGCGCGATCGCGATCGCGTGTCTCGCCCTCGGCGCGCGCGCGAGCGACGACGATCTCGCGACGACCGCGCGCGTGCTCGCGCGCAAGACGATCGCGCCCGCGATGGCGGTCGAGGGGCAAAATCTCACCGTCACCGTCTCGCTCGTCAACGCTGGGACGGCGGAGGCGCGAAAGGTGCGCGTGCGAGACGATGGGTTGGATGCGAGCGCGTTCGAGTTGATCGGTGAGAAAGACGCGCTGAGCGCGACGTACGCGACGTTAGCGCCGGGCGAACGCGTGGAATACGCGTACACGGTGGTGCCGAAGACGAGTGGGTCGTTCAAGGCGAGCGCGGCGAGCGTGTCGTACCTGGGAACGAGCGGACGGGAGACGACGCGCGGGACGAGTAACGTTCTCGGCGACGTCCTCGTGTACACGAAGACGCAGCGAAACATCTTCACCGCGCTCGAGGTGGGGAAGTATCTCACGCTCGGCGCGTGTAAGACGATGGAAGACTGGGTGCGGTACGGCACGCTGTTCGGAGGCGTCGCGGGCGCGCTCGCGCTGAACTGGTTCGCGCTCAAGGTGAAAAAGGGCGTCGCCGCGGCGCGCAGACGCATGGCCGTCGCCTCGCTCGAACGCGCCGATAAGAAGTCCTCGTAGGGTCCGTACCCCGTTCACGTCGCGATCGACATCGACGTTGTGAGAAGTGACGCCGTTCTTTATTCAAACTCAGCCGCGTCGAGCCGCGTCGAACCGCGTCGAACCGCACTTCGCGACGCGCGTCGCCCGGAAGATGGCCCCACGCGCGCGCACACCAGCCGCCGACGTCGACATGGCCGACGCCAACGTGACGACGTCGACGTCCTCGGTCGCCGACGCCGCGCTCGAGCTCGCGCGCGCGAGAAATGGCTTGAGAGCGGCGCTCGATCGCGCGAGCTCGCTCAATCATTTCCAACTTCCAGACGAGAGTGCGTCGTTCGAACGACTCGATGCGCGCCGCGACGGTCACGGGCGCACGCGCGCGCGCGTAGACTCTCGACTGACGAGATGTCACGCGATTCGACGACGCAGAGACGCTGAGCGTGAGCGATCTGTTGGAGTACGCTCGACGCATAAGTTACACGACGTACGCGCCCGCGGGGTACGTCCCCGGCGCGCCGCTGTGCGGAGCGCTGCCACCGGCGCCGCAGGAGGAACACTTTAAAGCGTCAAAGTTGGCGGCGTACGCGGCGGAGATGCGGGCGAGAGAGAAAGCGCGTGCGAGCGAGGCGGAGGCGAGAGCGCAGGAGGAGGCGCAGAGAAAGGCGCTCGAGGAGGCGGCTTCGATCCCGCCGGAGGAGCTCATCGCGCGATTGGCGAAGTGGAAACCGGGAGAGCCGTGGCCGGATGGAATTCCACCGCCGCCGCCTGGATGGAAACCGGGCGATGCGCTGAATTTCGACCTTCCGAGACGCGAGACGGAGATCGGCGCGCTCGTCAAGCCCACGAACGCCGTCGCCGCGGTCAAGGCGGCTCCGCGCGCGGTTCCGTTCGTCTCGCTCGATCTGAACCCGGACTTAGATGACGAAGATTTACGATCGATATCGGACGACTTCGAGGAGGTGAGCGAGAGCGATGGCGACGACTCGGATTAACGCGTTAATACACGCCAGAAAACATAGCGCGAGTCACCGCATAGTCACACGCACGATGGCGCGTTCGCCCCTCGCGCGCGCGCCCGTGAACGTCGCGCTAGAGTTCAACGCGACGACCGAGCAGATCGCGTGCGTCGTCGCCGGATGTCTCGGCGCGCTGTTCTTGCAACACGCCTCGCTGTTTTATTTGAAACGATACCATCGTCAGTTCATCGACGGATTGGACGCGAAATCGCGCGCGGACGTCGGCATTCGGTGCGCATCGAGCGTGTGGGGGATGATGTGTGGCGTGTGGGCCGCGACTCTGCTCCCGCGCGCGCTCGAGACGTCGACGGACACGTTGACGAGGATGTACGCCCAACCGCCGCTCGTCGGCGCTGAGCGCTTGATGGCGCTCGCGACCGGATTCTTCGCCTGGGACACCGTGGTTAGTAAGATGTACTATGAGGCACAGTACTTCTGGCACGGGCTTGTTTCCTTTGTCGTCTTCGGGCTGCCGATGTTCATGCCGAGGGGGTTTCTGCACCTGTACGCGTGCAACTTCTTGATGTGGGAGACGACGATACCGTGCCTGTCCGCTCGATACATCCTGATTAAGGCTGGTATGGGGTCGACGACGATGTTCAAAGCGGTCGAGCTCGTTGGTTTCGCGTTCTGGATCATCATTCGATTCGTCATCGGTTTGCCGATGATGTATTTGTATTTCAAAGATGCGTCCGCCATGTTTGCGGCGAAGCGCGCGAGTCCGACGTGGGTCTACGTCTGGTACGTCACCGCGTCGGTTGTTTTACAAGTTATGAACTTTATATGGCTCGCAGCGATCTTGCGAGCGGTGTTTGGCAAGGGCAAGAAAAAGAGAGACGAGGGGGCGATGAAGGAAGAATAGTCTAGTCAGCGCGCGGTCCGACTCTCGGTCTTTGTTGAACGCACAACACGAGTACGATACATTATTTCGACCCGTCAGTCACTCCAGTCCGTGATATAACTCGGTCGTCGTGGCCCACCACGATTGTTGATCCCGCGGACCGGCGATGATGTGCATCAGTCCCTTGAAGGCGCCGCTGAATCCATCGAAGATTGCCAAAAACAGAGTTCTCGAGCCGGCGAAGGGCAGAGGACGCGCTCCCTCGGGGGCGGACGTGTCCGTCATGACGTGATCGATTGATGCGTGATGCTTCGTTGTGCGTGAACGTCGCTGGCTGACGTCCGTAGTGAGCGAACGTCGAGTGAGGCGTTCGTTTGTTTTGAGGTGTTCTTTGAGTGTCTCTTCGTCTCCTTATCAGAATTATGTTACATCATCATGTCAAGTCGATGACAGGATCGCTCTCCTGACTCGATTTTGATCTTTTGTCGGCACGACGACGTTGGCGCGCCCCTTCATCGTCTAGTGAGACGACCCCATTCACGTCTCGTTTCCACGGATGTGACGCTCCAGCCACGCCTCGACGACGCTCGCGCGCGCGTTCCTGCGCGGCCGTGTGCATCGATAACCTAACAGCTCTCTCCAAGTCAGCCTGCTCCTTCTCGCGAGATTTACGTGCTTGCAGTTCTTCATCCAACGTGATCTGCCTGTGTAGCTTCTCATTGTCGCGCATTTGACGCTCGATCGCTCGAACGGCCTCACGTCGTTCGTGCTCCTCCGCTTGACGCGCCGCTTGACGCGCCGCTTGACGCGCCATGCGCGGGCGCACATCACGCTGCATCTGCTCTAGATTCCCCCAAAACATCGCACGCTCACGCTCCAGCGCATCCATCGCCAAGAAACCTCGACCGAGCTCGTCTCCGAGGTCGAAGTCCTCATCATCTAACTCGTTTTCATAGTCGTCAAGATTCGGCCACATTTGCCTAGCTCGTCGATGCGCACCACGCCGAGGAGCTGGAATCTCCGGAAATGGCTCACCTTGCACGGGATTATCTCGACCGCCGCGACGCGGTGGGGGCGCGTTGTTTCGTTTCACCGTGGCGGTTCGCTCCTTGATGACGTCCTTCGGAGAAATGCCCAAATCCTTGAGCTCGCGCTCCAACGAGTCGAGGACGCGCTTGAAGAACTCGTCGTCCCACGTCGCGGCATACGTCGCAAAGTTTCGAATCCGACGCAATCGTTCCGCCTCGCGAAACATCTCCATCGAACCGAACGTCCCCATCGGGTGCCCGCGATTGGCCGCGACGAAACTCTCCGCCTTGCCCTTTTGCTTCTTTTGCCACTTCGCCACATCCTTCGCGAGCTGACAGTTCCCGATGTGCGCGTGCGCGTCCCTCCCACAATCCGCGATACAGTACGCGCATATCCCAGCGTTACATCTCGAGCACAAAAGCGCAAAGCATCCGCTGAAATCCACGAACGCCTGCGTGCACCTCGGGCACGCCGTGACGAAGATGCGCTCGATGACGTGCTCCCGCGTCGCCCGTAACCGCTCTCCCTCCCCCCCACCCTCCTTCGCCAATCGTTCTCGCTCACCTTTCAACCGTTCTTCCGCCTCCTCCACGATCATCGCCTCCTTCACCCTCCGTCTCGCCTCGTCGTACGCCTCAAACGTCTCCGCCGAGCACCGCGTCGCGATCTCCCTCGCCCCGTAGCACGTCGACGCGCACCGCTCACCCTTCTCCAGCGCCGCCGTGTTCATCGGACACAGCACCTCCCCCATTCGCCGTCGGAGCTCGCGCACGTCCTTCTCGCACTCCCGCTTCACGTGTCCATCGAAGCACGTCGCGCACAGCCCGTGCCCGTTGGCGCATCGCACGAATTCACTCGCGCGCGACGTCCCCGCGTCGTCGTCGCGGGCGAAACACACCACGCACGACCCGCGCGCGTCCATGGACCCCGCGACGGGCGCGTCGGCGTCGCGCGCGCGGTGGCGACGCCCCCGTCGCACCGATCGCGCGATGTCGACGCCGCTCGACGCACACACGTGCGGCGCCGACGAGACCTCGACGAATGGCATTTCAAACCCGCGCCCGTAGACGCCGCGCGCGAGGCGTCACCCGCGCTCGATGGCGGCCTCGGACGTCGCCGAGGCGCGCGTCGCGGCCACGCGCGCGCGACGCGCGACGCGGGTGGAGATACGTCGCGCGATCGACGCCGCGAGAGTGAATCAGGATGAGCTGTCAAAGCCCGAGAGCGACGAGCTCGATCGCGCGGTCGATCGCGCGGACGAGATCAACGAAACGGGCGTCCGGGAGAAGCGGGAGATGGTGCTGGACATGGAGTTGTATAATCAGTTGACGGCGTACGCGCGGACGCGAACGGCGCGATTGGGGCCGAGAGGGAGCGCGGAGGTGAGCGTCAAGGCGTTTTTGCAGGCGCTGCGGCGCGCGGGCGGCGGGGGGGGGTCGGGCGATGGGGTGTCGTGGGAACGGGTCGGTGGCTCGGGGGCGAAGTACTTTAGTGATGCGCCGGTGCCGGGATTCATGAATGGCGTGATGGACACGGCGATAAAGGAACGGCGGGCGACGCAGCGACGGGCCAAGGAGGTTCTCGGGCCGAGCGTCGCGCCGGACGCGGTGGAAGACACCACGGCGGAGCGCCAGACGGATAAGATGATGCAAGCGATGCATAAAAAATTGAAAAAGTGTCCGGGAGGGGTCACGGATGTGGTGCATGCGGTGCGTAACCTGGAGAGTTTTCCGCAATTCGTCGAAAACGTCTTCACCGCCGCCTTCTTGGTACGGGAGGGCGCGGCCGGGATCACGCCCTCACCCTCGGGTGGGGTTCCCACGCTGTCGCATCAAGTAAAACCAGCCGCGGGGGCTGATCGAGCGAGCTTCGTTTTGCACGTGGACATGAAGAATTGGCGCGCGCTGAACGCGCTCGCGAACGGCCAAGCGGGCCTCATGCCGACGAGAGAAGACGTGGACGAGGATGTGTTGTACGGCGCGCGAGGGACGAGACGCGCGGGTGAGGATGATTTGGAGTATGACGACACCAAACGCGTTCGAACAGGCGAACATCTCCACGACTCGACGAACGAGAGGCGCTTACCGCGCGATTCCGTGTCCAGTTAGGACATCGATGTGAAACAAACGTTGTCAACAATACACAGAGCTACAATCAATCGCACAAATCTAGCGCCACTAAATCTTCGGTCCGAAGAGCCAAATCTTCTCCTGCATCGCCTCTTTGACGCTCTTATACCCGAGCGCTCGGCCCTCCACGCGCGTCAACGTCCCGCCGAACGCTTCGTCCAACTCCTCCTCCCTATCCGCGTTAAACGCCACGTACACCGGTGCCTCTCTCTGCGCCACCGTCCCCGCGATCATGTCCAAGCACGTTTTCAACTCTTTCGGACTCACGTTCGCGAACGGCGGATCCACGAACACGACGTCGTACGCGTACTTCGTCATCAACACCGGCCGTCGCAGGTCGAACCGCTTGAACCCGCGCACCAATCCCTTAAACCGCACGTCGCAATCGAGCAGCACGCACGTCTCGCCCACCTCCCGCTCCCACGCCACCGCCAACGTGGGATTACACACGAACAGCGGCCGCTCGTACCGCTTCGCCACGCGCAACAATCGCCGCAACGTCTCGTCGCTATAAAAAAACTGCTCCAGCGCGTGATCCTCGGCGATCCCCGAGCACTCGGCCGGGGCGATCGTGGTCGCGGGCGCCCCCTTGGGACGATCGCCCTTCCGTCGCGCGCGCCTCGGCGCGGCGTGGGCGACCACGCGCGCGCGCGCGGCGGACATTGCGGTGGTCGGTGGCGCGTCCAGTCAGCACGGCACCGCACGACGCGTCGACGCGTCCATCGCGCGCGAACTCGCGCGTCGTCGCGCATGCGCCTCGCACATCGTTCGCTCGACGTCGCCCGCGCGGGCGGACGCGGCGGGCGCGCGGCGGGCGAGCGAGGACGGATCGCGTCGAGGGACGGTCACGTCGGTTGGGCGACGACGAATCATCGCGCGCGCGTGTCGATCGTCATGCGCGCGTCCGCGGACGCCGAGCGCGTGCGACGGTTACAGAACGGCTCGGATGTTCGAGGGGTCGCCATGGATGGGGTCGAGGGCGAGGCGGTGACGCTGGACGCGACGACGGCGCGGGCGATCGGGACGGCGTTCGCCGAGTGGTTGGCGCGGGACGAATCGAGCGCGCAGGGGAAGACGATCGGTGTCGGACGAGATCCGCGATTGAGCGGTGAAGCGTTGAGGGATGGAATGTTCGCGGGGATGGTCGAAGCGGGGGCGACGGTGGTGGACATGGGATTGGCGACGACGCCGGCGTGCTTCATGTCTTGCGTGACGGAGGGCGTCGAGTACGACGGAGCCGTCATGCTCACCGCGTCGCACCTGCCGTTCAATCGAAACGGGATGAAGTTTTTCACAAAACATGGGGGACTGGATAAGCCCGATATCAAGGAGATCTGCGCGCGGGCGGCGGAGCTCGTGGAGGCGGGCGGCGGGGACGCAAAGGCACCCGCGGGCGTGACGTCTGCGCCGTTCTTACCGACGTACGCGGTGCAGCTGTGCGAGATCATTCGAAAGGGCGTGAACTCGAAGGATAACTACGAGAAACCGCTGAGCGGGATGAAGATCGTCGTCGACGCGGGAAACGGGAGCGGCGGTTTCTTCGTCGATATGGTTCTCAACCAACTCGGCGCAGACACAACCGGGTCGCAGTTCTTGGATCCGGACGGTAACTTCCCGAATCACAGCCCGAACCCGGAGGATAAGGCTGCGATGGAAGCTGGTGTGCGAGCCGTCTTGAACGCCAAGGCTGACCTCGGGATCGTTTTCGACACCGACGTCGATCGAAGCGCCGTAATTGACGCGTCGGGAAAAGAAATCAACCGCAACAAGCTCATCGCCTTGCTCTCAGAGATCGTGCTCAAGGAAACGCCAGGGTCGACAATCGTCACGGACAGTGTTACGAGCGATGGTTTACACAAATTCATCATTGACAAGGGCGGGAAGCATCTTCGATTCATGCGAGGATACAAGAACGTCATCAATAAGGGCAAGGAGCTCAACGCGTCCGGCGTCGACACGCCGCTTATGATTGAAACAAGTGGGCACGGAGCGATGCGCGAGAATTATGATTTGGATGACGGTGCGTACTTGGCGGTGAAGATTATCATCGAGGCTGTGCGCAGGCGGAACGCAAAGGAACCGTCGATTGGGCAAGTTCTCGAATCGCTCGAAGAGCCCTTGGAGGAAGCCGAGGTGCGGCTGAAAATCTCGGACCCCGACTTCAAGGAGTACGGTCTAAACGTCATCGAAAGTCTCCTCGCCGAGGTCAACGATACGGTAGAGCACTCCTCGTTTGGAAAGTGTCGACCAGCTGAGGATAACTACGAGGGACTCCGCGTTTGCGTCGACGAAGGCAACGGTAAGCAAGGATGGTTCTTACTTCGCTGTTCCCTTCACGATCCAGTAATGGTGCTCAACTTCGAATCTCAGGTCGAAGGCGGCGTGCGAGTGATGGCGGAGGAGTTCGGGACATGGATCCTCGATCAAAACTACGACAAACTCGACTGCTCGAGCGTACACGAGCTCTATAGCAACTGAGCGCGAGGGGACGAGTGACAAGGCGCGCGGCATGCGTAGCATTAGGTTTGTCATGAAAACGCTTCTAGTACTACGCGATTTCTTTGAAATTCTCATCTAGGTCACGTACATCGCACGATTCATAGGTGTTCGGGGCTTGCGAGGCTCGCGCTTCGGACAACGATTTATTGTCGCGGCGGGCGCTCGCTGCGGTATCCGCCGCGGTCGCCACCGAAGCCACCGCGGCCGCCGCGGCCACCACGCGGGGCCTCCGGCTCGCGCGTCGGCGCGCGCGCCGCCTTCTTGAGCGTGTTCGGCACCACGTCCGGACCCAAGTTGAGGTACTCGCGCAAGTACTCGATGCCCTCATCCGTCAGGTACCAGTAGTAGTGTCTCCAGGAGAAGATTTCGTTGACGAATCCCTTGGACTTGAACGACTGCATGAGCTTGATCACGTGCAGGTTCGGGACGTCGATCGGGTTCTCACCCGATTGCCCAACCTCCGGGTGCTTCGGCAAGTTGTAGTCCTTCTTGGCCCAGATGACACCCTCGGAGAAGAGCGCCTTGTAGGTTTCGTTACGGTTTTGCTTGGGAATAAGCATGACTCAAGTTTGGTGGTAAGTTTTCTTTATCAACGTCGACGAAGCTCGTTCGCGACTATAGGGTTTCGTAGTCGACCCTGCGTTGGCGAGAGAGGAGCGATCGCGTCGATGTCAGTCGTCGCTCGAAATTGGTGATTTTCGCGTCGTACGTCGTCGATTCGCTCGCGAGGACGCGTAACAGACGATGCGACGGCGACGACGCGCGCGCGTGATACGCGTTCGATCGAATCTCCGGGCAAACGCGTACCTTGGCGACCGTGCGTGCGTGAAAGGCGGACGTTGCGACGACGCTAGGGCTTTTCAGTCGCTCGAGCTTTTCACGAGTCTCTCATTTCGTGAGTTTTTACTCGATATCGTGTTCTCGTAGTGTAAGTGTCTACACACATCATATCCACAGTTCGGAACTCTCGTATTCAACGAAATTAATTGGACGATTGTCCGAGGAATTCGAATTCGCACCGACAGGTCCCCGCGCGCATGGTGTCGAGCGTCGACGACGCCCTCGTCCAGGCCCGAGAGGCCGCGGAGCTCTACGCCTCGAACGGTTCCGTCGCCAGCGCGGTGTTTCACGCCGATAAGGCGCGCACGCTGAGCGATGGCGACGCGCGAGACGTTTTCGCGCTCACCGAGCTCTTGGTGCGCGACGGCCAACACGCGCGCGCGCTGGGGGTCCTGCGGGCGTCCGGGCTGGATTTGAAACTCGCTCGAGGGCGTCTGCTCGCGGCGCGGTGTTTACACGGCATGCGGTCGCACGAGGAGGCGGTGCGAGCGCTGGATGGAGGGGCGGAGGAGAACTCGGACGACGACGCGCGCGCGCGGTACCTCGCGCTCGCGGACGGGAGCCCGACAGACGCGGCAGCGATGTGCGCGTTGCGAGGGAAGGCGCACGAAGCGATGGAAAGTCGGTCGAAGGCGGTGCGGGCGTACGAGATGGCGTTGAGATTTGATCCGATGTGTTTCGAGGCGTTTGAGGCGCTTTTGGCGACGCACTTGGTGAACGAGCACGAGGAGCGCGAGTTGGTGGCGTCTCTGGAGACGAACAAGGCGAACACGTGGATCAAGGACGTGTACGCTGTGATGGGTAACTCGAGGGAGGTGCACTCAGAACTCGCGCGGGGACACGTCGAGGGTGAGGAAGACGGAGCCACGACTCCGGAGCCTTCCACATCGGCTCTAGACGTGTTGAGATACAACGGCGACGTCCGAGTCGCGTGTGCACGGCGGATGTACCAGCGCGGTGAGTTCACGGCGTGCCACAGTGAGCTCAGGCGCCAGTTCGAGCGTGAGCCGTCCCGGTTGAATGGGTTGCCGCTCTATTTGGCGACGCTTGTGGAGCTCGGGAAGAAGAACGATTTGTACCTTCTCTCGCACTCGCTGGTCGCCGAGTACCCGAAGAAGGCGGTTACCTGGTTCGCAATCGGGTGTTATTACATGGTCACCAGACAGTTCGACTCGGCGCGGAAGTATTTCAGCAAAGCGACGAGCATTGATCCTTCGTTCGTGCAGGCTTGGATTGGGTACGGGCACGCGTTTGCGGCGCAAGACGAGAGTGATCAAGCGATGGCAGCGTATAGGACCGCAACGAGGCTGTTCTCGGGCACGCACATCCCCGTGATGTCTCTCGGAATGGAGTATCAGCGCACGAATAATTTGAGCCTGGCCTTTCAGTTCTTCCGTAAGGCTTTCGAGATGTGCGATTCGGATCCGCTCTTATTCAACGAGTATGGCGTCTTACGCTATCGTCAAGGTAACTACGAGGAGGCGGTGGAGAACTTTGAGCGCGCCTTGGATCTCGCACCGAAGCCCGTGGGTAGTCGATGGGAGTCGCTTATCGTGAATTTGGCGCAGGCGTTTCGAAAGATTGGTCGCTATGACGAAGCCATCGCTACATTTCAGTCAGCGTTGCTCATATCCCCGCGCAACGCGTCAACGTATGCCGCCCTCGCGTTCACTTATCAGATGAAGAGTCGTTGTTCAGAGCCCGTCTCACTTGGATTGGCGATAGAGTACTATCACAAAGCGCTCAGTCTGCGCGCCGACGACGCGTTTTCGCAGCATCACCTTGAGTTAGCTCTCATCGATCAAAGCGCGATTACAATTCCGCGGCATCAACAGGTTGAGTGGGACACAATGTTCCCGAAAGTTGAAGACATCAATGCGGTGACGCCGACATTCGGTATCGCGTCTTCTCCGCAGGGTGGAATACTCTTCCCGACGCCGTCGCCGCACAGTTTCCAAGGCACGCCGACGTTTGGTCAGACTCCGTTTTCGGCGCGCGTCGACCGCATGGACGAGAGCGTCGACATGGACCAGAGCGTTGATATGGACGAGAGCGAATAGTAATCAAATCGTGATTAATAGATCTTCGAGTTGTAACTTGACGACGTAACTTCATGACGCATCGCGTCGCGCGACTCCGCGGCCAACTTCGCGCTCGACTGCGTCCCACCTCGCCGCATTCGCACGCGCGCGCCCGCGTCCCGTCGCCGAACGCTCGGTCATCGAACACTTACTACACGCACGCGCGATGCCACCCAAAACCGACAATGCGCCGCTCGTGATCACCACGGAGGAGGAGGAAATCATCAAACAGAGAATCATAGAACAAACTGCAACGCTGAAACCCGGACAAGATTACCCGTTGAAGCGCCTGGTGAAGACTTTCTTCGCCCTGATGAAGGCCTTAGACGCAGGCGCGGACGTCGACGAGGCCAAAGAGACGTTCTTGATCGAGTTAGACACGTACGAGTTCAACATGCTTCGTTACGGGACGGTGGTGGACGCGCAGCGAGTGCAGACGCTCGCGTACGACGACGAGGAGATCGAGCTCGAGCAGACGACGAAGCGACTGAAGGGGCAGTGTAAGAATTTACGATCGGAGCTCGCGGCGAGCGAGCGCGAGCGGGCGTTTCGAGAGGCGAGGGACGAGGCGGCCAGCGCGTGCCGCGAGTATCCGACGCGTGCGGAGAGCGAGGACGCGAACGCCCAGCTCGAGCGCGCCCTCGCCGAGGCAAAAATCGTCTTGACGGGATTGGATGAGAAGGTTGCCGCGCGAAAGGCGAAGTACGCGCTCTTACTCGCCGTCGTGGACTCCTTGGACACGGAGTGACTCTGCCATTTTCGGCGCGCGTTCGATCCGTCGCAGCTCGCCGCATCCCCTCGCCTCGCTCTCGACCGCGCGAAACGCTCGTCGCGAGAACGCATTCATGTAACATCACACCTAGCGCGCGCTGAACTCTCTCGCGTCGTCGCCTTCGCTCGCGCTGACGGCCCGCTTCGCCCGGTAGCGCGTATTACATGGCTTGGCTCATGACTCATGGCTCATGACTCAACGTCGACCCCCTCGGTACGACGTCGATCCAATGGCGTCATCCACTCGGAGCCGCCGGAGCCACGCATCGTAATCGACACGAATCTCCACACCGCGACGCGTAGACGCGGAGAGGATCTCGCGCGATGTCCGGTGGCGGTGCGTTGATCGTCTTACCGGCGATCGCCGGACTGTTCTTCGCCTTTTGGCTCTTCACGAAGAAACTAAAGCCGATCTCGCTCGGGAGTGAGATTGGACGGTCCGCGAGCGATTACTCGCAGTCGACGTCGCGAAATGGCTCGGCGAGCTCGCTGAGCGCGATGGAACACACCGGAGAGGACTCATTGATGCGCGGAATGGAGTCTGGGGACCGAGCGGCGATGGAGGAGACGCTGGCGAAGGTTCGAAGGATTCATCACGACGTCCGAGACGGCGCGCGCGCGTTCCTGAACGCCGAGTATCGCATGTGCGTGGCCTTCTTAGCGGCGTTCGGCGTCGCGATCGCGGTGTTGACTTCAAATGGCCGATTGGGATTCGACGCGAAGAGCGGGTTCGCAACGGCGGCGGCATTCGCGGTCGGTGGAGTCACGAGCATGGCGAGCGGGTACGTCGGGATGATGGTGGCGACGTACACAAACGCGCGGTGCGCGATGATGGCGACGCTGAAACCGGAGCATTTGGCGTGGAAGGAGAGTTTCAATGCCGCGTTCAGAGGTGGTGGCGTCATGGGCTTCGCACTCAGTGGACTCGGGCTACTCATGATGTACTTCTTGATGCTCGTGTACAGTGCGTTCTTTTCGTTTGAAACACACGCGATGGAGTTGTTCGAATGCATCGCCGGTTTCGGGCTCGGCGGGAGCGCGATCGCGATGTTCGGTCGCGTCGGTGGTGGCATTTATACTAAAGCGGCCGATGTCGGTGCGGATTTGGCCGGTAAGGTTGTTGCGGGCATCCCGGAAGACGATCCACGCAACCCGGCAACGATTGCGGACAATGTCGGCGACAACGTCGGCGATGTCGCAGGAATGGGAAGCGATCTCTTCGGCTCGTTCGCCGAGGCCACGTGCGCAGCGCTCGTCATCGGCGCCCAATCCGCTGACCTCGTCGCCGCGGGTTGGGACTCAATCATCTTCCCTCTTTATATCTCTGCCGTGGGCATCCTCGTGTGCATTGGCGTTTCCTTCGTCGCCACGGACATCTCTCCGGTGCGCAACGAAATCAGCATCGAGCGCGTGTTGAAGACGCAGCTCACCTTGAGCACCATCGCGATGACGATCTGCATCTACCCTATCTGCTACGTGTTCATGCCGCAGGACTTGTACCTCGGCTCCTCCTCTTTCAGCACCGCGTGCCTCGGCACCACGAGCAGTCGGTGCATCTCCAACGGTCCGCGCTCAGCGTTCGCGTGCATCGCCGCCGGTTTGTGGGGTGGCTTGATCATCGGCTTCGTCACCGAGTACTACACTTCACACTCGTACGCTCCAGTCCGTGAGGTCGCTCGATCGACCGAAACGGGCGCGGCGACGAACATCATTTATGGTCTCGCCCTCGGATACAAGTCGACAATCGTTCCCGTCACGGTTCTTGCATTCGGTGTCTGGCTTTCATTTTCCTTGATGGACATGTACGGTGTTGCCTTGTGTGCACTTGGTATGCTCGGCACACTTTCTACGTGCCTCGCCATCGACGTCTACGGCCCGATTTGCGATAACGCCGGCGGGATTGCCGAAATGGCTGGCATGCCGGATGACGTCCGCGACAAGACGGATGCGTTGGATGCCGCTGGAAACACGACGGCCGCGATCGGTAAGGGCTTCGCGATCGGCTCCGCCGCTCTCGTCTCTCTCGCCCTCACCGCTGCATTCGTTACTCGCACCGGTGCGCTCGAGAACGGCGTGAACTTGCTCAACCCGTCGGTGTTTGCCTTCCTGTTGATTGGCAGCATGCTTCCGTACTGGTTCTCGGCAATGACAATGAAGTCCGTCGGCGTCGCTGCGATGGAGATGGTGAAGGAGGTCAAACGTCAGTTCGATACTATCCCGGGCCTTCTCGAAGGTACGCCAGGACACGCGCCGCCCGACCACGCTCGATGCATCAAGATCAGCACCGACGCGAGTCTTCGCGAGATGGTGCCACCGGCAACACTCGTCATCATGGCGCCTATCATCACTGGCACCTTCTTCGGCGTCAAGGCCGTGACTGGTCTCCTCGCCGGAGGTCTCGCTTCGGGTGTTCAGCTGGCCATTTCTGCGAGCAACACCGGCGGTGCTTGGGACAACGCGAAGAAGTACGTTGAGAAGGGCGGATTGTATATCGACGTTCCCAAGCGCGAGCGCGCGCACTCTGATCCTGTTGAAGGACCGTACACGGGCGCCATCGTCCGAAACGTGGACGGATCACCCCAACTCATAAGTGTGCGTCAGCGCAAGGGTAGCGATTGCCACAAGGCGGCCGTGGTCGGCGACACCGTCGGCGATCCGCTCAAGGATACCAGTGGCCCTGCGGTCAACATCCTCATGAAGCTCACGGCGATCATCTCCCTTGTCTTCGCCGACTTCTTCATGTCCATTAACGACGGCCGGGGTCTGTTCCTCGTCGGAAACTAAGAAAACTTTAGCCAAGATTCCTCCCCTTCGAGCACGCATTAATACGACATTGACACATTGATTCTCTCGACGCACTGAATCTCAGCGCGGACTCGTCCCGCTAGACTCGGACTGATCACTCTCTCCCCACAGCTCCACGCGTCGATGTCCACCCATGAAGCGATTTTCTTCAAAACCAAACCGAAGACAGCGGCACCGACGAAACTAGGCGGCGTTGATCTCAAACGACTCCGTGTCGACGCCGAACGAGCGCTCGCTCGCGCGGAGGCTAAAACTCTGGATGCGCTGCTGCAAAAATCATCAACGCTGGAGTGCGTCAAGATGACCAATAAAGCGATCGTATACCTCATCGATGGTGTTCCGATGTTTTTCGACGCCACGGGACGGGGCGACGGGGTGTACCCATCGGTGTATGCACTGTGGCGGCTCGGCTCGGCGAGCGGATTGCGGCGAGCGCGGACGCACAGCGCCGTGTCGCCGAAAATTCTGAACGGCGCGAGTTTGATGCTTCCGGGATTGGTGATCGACACCGCGTTCGAGGAGTGGGAATCGAACGAAATAGTGGAGATTGGAATAGTGGACGGGAGCGATGCGTTCGCGGTCGGGATCACCGCCTGCTCGAGCGCCGAGGCGAGAGCGAGCGGCATGAAAGGCGTCGGTGTCACGCTCGTGCACGCGTACGGCGACGCGTGTTGGGCACTTGGGGATAAGAGCTCACCAAGCAAATCGTTTTCAACTTCGAGAATATATCCAGACGGTGAGGACGCACCGGTGGAGGTGACGAGACCGCCGACAGAGAAGATTGAAGAGAAATTGCGCGCTCTGAACGTCGCCGAAGACGAGGCGAATGGTGAGCTCGAGTTCGACGTGAGCACGCCTGATAAGATGGACGCAATGTTCGAGCGGTGCTTTGCGATGGGACTCAATAAAGTGACGGACGCAGAGTTACCCATGCGATGCGAGACGTTTTATGCAAATTTTGTCCTCCCATCGAGACCAGAGGGCGTGCAGCTTGATCTCAAGCACTCGACGTTCAAGAAGCAGGCCAAGTTATTTCACGTCATGGAGAAAAAGGTCGGAATCATCAAGACAAAGCTCGTGCACAAAATTGAGAACGTTGCTTCCGTGAATCGCGAACATGCGTTGCTTGCCAAGTATGCGGTGAATACAGAAACATCGGACGCATGCGGCGATGAGGCAGCGACGCCCGCGATATCCCTCACCGCGGCAACGATCGACGTGAGCAAGGCATATCGCGCGTCAACGATGTATCGTCCGATCTTCGGCGAGCAGGCGTTGCAAAACAAGGATCGATTGTATAGTAAATCAGAGGCGCGCGTCGCGCTCGGCGCCTATGTCAAAGAGCACGGCTTAGGCGACGGCTCCCCGGGCAGCGAGATCAAGCTCGACCTCTTGCTCGGAAAAGAATTGTTCAACAAGAAGGAGGAGTGGTACGGAACGGACAAATCTTACCCGATCGACGACCTGTTCGATCGTCTGATGGGAAAGCTCCAGCCGCATACCATCGTGCGTTCGACGCGCGACGGCGAAACTCTCGAGTACGTCAAGAAGGGTTCCATCAAGCCCATACACATAAAAGCCGAGGATCGAGGTCGGCGCAAGTATATCACGCGCGTCAGCGGTCTGGAATCGTTTTGCATATCGCCCGAGGATTTCTCTCTGGTGCTCAAGCGCGAGTTCAGCGCCGCTGTCTCGATTGAGGATCTCCCAGGTAAGCAAGAGCACGGAAAAGAGCTTTCCATCCAGGGGCACGTCGTGATTCAACTTTGCGATCTCTTGCGGGTCAAGCTCGGTGTGCCGGCCAAGTACATCGACGCACAGAATTAAACATGAAAATGAGACGCGTCGACGCGCGAGAACATCGTGCGCGTGCGAGGATACGTCCGCACATCTCCGCGATCGTCACACCGCGCAGACGCCAGTGTTGACGGCGTCGAGGCATGTTTCATTCTTGTCACCCAATAGACTCCAAATCCAGGTCGCGCGAGCGGCGCGCGAACGGGGATGAAGGGACCGGTCGCGACGGTTCGCGGCGCCGAGAGCGCTCGGACGCGTCACGCGCGCCGTCGTCTCGACCCTATCCCGCGCTCGCGCTCGCCAAGAAGAAGATCAAGATACTTCCGATGTTACGGAGAATCCGACCGAATCTCACGTTCGCGGCGGCGCGGCCGACGTCGCACCTCGAGTTCGGCAACGGTCGCGACGAGCGACGAGGCGGCGCGTTGTCGATTTCCTTGTCATGCACAGTGGACGCTGCGATGATTTTCAGAGCGTTTCACGCGCTCGTACAGACCCCGTTCGCGTTAGCGGGTGCGTTTCTGTTCGTGAAGACGTTCGTAGAGCGGGCACGCGAGTGCGAGCGTGTGACGGTGGCTGCGAAACGCGCCCAGACTCCAGAAGCGGAATCGGCGGTTCCGGGAGACGCGGGAGTCGAATGTGCGCTCATGTTTTCCATTCCGATCGTCGAGCTCGATCGTGGTAAAGATGAGTGCGGTGACAGCGACGAATTCGAATCGATGCACGACGACGCGTCGTGGTCCTCGATGGGACTGTCGGAACAAGAATGGAGTTTTGTATCGGACGACGCGGCATCGAGCGAAGAGGACGCGAGCGAGGCGTGTGTGTGAGCGTTCAAGAGCGCGACGATACGACTGCGATGTGGTTCAGGTTACTAGATTTCTAGCTACTGTGCGTTGTATGAACGAATACGTGTCATGATGCTCACACAAGGCGAACGTAGTCGCCTTCAATCTTGAACAGATCCTTGCGACTCTTGATGAACTCTCCAAACTTCAATGGAAAGTTTGTCGGTTTCTTGACGCGACCGCCGAGCGCGGCCATGGCCGTGTTCGGGTGTTCCTTCAAATACGTAACGATGGATTGCGCGTAATCTTCGCTGGAAATCTTCTTGTCCGTGGTCGGAGTCTTCGGCGTAGCTGCGTTGGGCGTGCCGGATTTCTTTGGCGTCGGCGTGTTCATCTTCTGCTTTTTCGCGGAATCCTTTGGCGCGGGCGTCTCGGCCGCGCGCTTAGTGGCTGATTTGATGAGACTGATATCCTCTGAGACGTCGGAAGCCGACGAATCCTCAGAATCGCTACCCGAATCGGAGCCGGAATCGTCAGAGTCATCGGAATCGTCGCGATCCTCCTCCTCATCAGACTCGGAAGAGTCGGAATCGGACTCAGAAGAGTCGGACTCGGACTCGGAATCATCATCCCCTTGCGTCTCCTTCGCCGATCTCTGCGATTTTTGAGCGGATGCCGGAGTAGATTTCGGCGCCGGCTCGTCCGAAGACGACTCAGATTCGGATCCAGACGACTCAGACTCAGACTCGGATTCCTCCTGCGCCTTCTTCGCGGACGCGGGCGTCTTCTTCGCCGATCCCTGCGATTTTTGAGCGGATGCCGGAGTAGATTTCGGTGCCGGCTCGTCCGAAGACGACTCAGATTCGGATCCAGACGACTCAGACTCAGACTCGGATTCCTCCTGCGCCTTCTTCGCAGACGCGGGCGTCTTCTTCGCTGAGGCGGGTGACTTCTTTGCCGGTGTCGGCGTTTTCTTAAGGGCGGGCTCCTCTTCTGACTCCGATTCATCCTCTGACGTCGTGGTAGACGGTGCTTCGACTTCAACGACCGCTTCCTTCTCGGGCACCGCCGTCTCATCGTCTTCGTCGTCGTCGTCGTCGCTCTCGCTGTTCGCGCCCATAGCCTCGGCGAAGGCCTTGTCGTCCTCACTATCGTCGTCGCTGTCGCTGAATAGATCCCCGTCGCTCGGCAAGTTTTCCATATCGTACGGCGTCTCAAACTCGTCGTCATCGTCGTCGTCGTCGTCGTCGTCGTCGTCATCGTCGTCGTCGTCGTCGTCGTCGTCGTCGTCATCGTCGTCGTCATCGTCGTCGTCGTCGTCGTCGTCGTCGTCGCTCGACGCCTCCTCGTCCGCCTCGTCTTCCTCGTCCTCCGCATCGCTCTCGCTCTCGCTCTCGCTCGCCAACCCCGACGCCAATTCCTCCATCACCAACGCCTCTTCCTCCTCATCGATATCATCCATCAGCGTTCGCCATCCGCTCACGTGCGCGTCGTTCGGTCCCTCCGCCCGGAGCTCAAACGTCGCGTCCAACGCCACGTCCATGCTCACCTGTTCACACGTCCCCGGCGTGAGCGCGCACAGCGCGTGCGCATCGCCACGCTGATCACCAACGCGCTCGTCTCCGTCGTCGATCACGCGCAGCGTCAGCGTCGTCCGTCGTCCGTCGTCTCGCGCGTTCGGTCCCAGCGCCACCTGGCTCACGTGCACGTACTCCTCGTCCGGGCTCACGTCCACGCGCAGGGTGCGTCCGGCGGGGACGACGGCGCCCCAGAACGTGGTCTCCATGCGCGCGCGACGCCGCGGCGGTCCTACGCGCGGGCGCGGGCGCGTGTGCGGCGCGCGCGGGGCGGCGGGGGTCCGGCGGCGCGGGGTCGTCGTATTCAGTGTGTGATAGGGCTATGATATAAATACTAGGCGTATCACACACTGAATACGACGACACGCGCGTGGTCCACGTCGCGCGCGCGGGACACGCCCGCGCGCGCGCGCGCCTCGCGCCTCGCTCGCGCGCTCGCCGCGCCCGAGTCCGCGACCGCCTCGCGCGCGCGTCGACGCCGGTCGAGCGCGCGAGGCGGTCGCGATGGCGAACGAGCGCAGTGGATTGATCGCGGACGCGCGGCTGGGTGTTGGCGCCTACGGCGTCCCTCGAGGAACGAAGCCGCGACGCGGGCGGCTCTACGGACCCTTCGGCGACGCCGACGTCGCGGGAGAGGTGCGGGGGGGGGTGGGCGACGGGCGCGCGAGCGCGTCGACGCGCGCGCGGTCGAGCGGACGACACGCGTGGCTGTGCGCGGCGCCGTTGGCGTTGCTCGCGCTCGCGCTGGGGGTGAGGGTGTTGGCGTCGGTCGCCCCGGAGGAGATTGAACGCGTGCGAGGGGTGGGAGGATGGTGGCCGCCGTGGCGGAGGCACGCGAGTCACGCGCGATGGCCCGGGCGTGAGAGCGGGGTGAACGCGACGACGCCGGAGGCGACGTTCGCGAATGGGACGCGGGCGAATCAGACGACGTCGTCGCCGCCGCCGCTGGCGTCGCCGGCGCCGGCGCCGGTGGCTACTTCGTCGCCATGGGGGACGTGGGCTGGGACGGAGACGATAGAACACGCGAACATGCCGAAGTTTGAGAGCGGGCAGTCGCTGGGCGTCGCCTTGAACGGGTGGTTGCACTTGGAGGAGTGGTTCTTTTCGCAAGGTGCGTCGCACGCGGTTGCGGCGGATATTCGAGAGGAGAACGGCGTCGCGTTTCCGCCGATGTTCCCGGATGCGACGTCTTTAGGGTTTCAATGGGCGTCCGAGGGAGATCTGGTGCGTAAGCTCGTGGATCACTACGGGCAAAAGTCAGCCGTCGGCGCCTTCACGGCGCACCGGGCGCAGTACATCACGGACGACGACTTGATTGAGATTGCGTCGCAGGGCATAAAGATCGTTCGATTACCCGTGTCGTGGGCCGTTTTCGCTCGAGATCCCGCCACCGTGGCTCGCGGAGGCGAGCGCGTTTTGGTCGATCCCGTGTACCCGGACAGACTCTTCGTGAACATGGCGGGGGCGGACCTGGACCACGTCGTCGAGCGCATTAGAAACGCTGGGCTCAAGGTGATGATAGATTTGCACAACATGCCCGGCGGCTCGGCGGCGGGATCTTACAACGGAGTGTTTCCACACCCACCGATGATGTTTGCGAGGAGTGATTTGCAGCGTACCGGTTTATTGGTCGTGCGCAACATGCTGAAATGGTTCAAGGCGCTCCCTGCGGATTCACGTTTGGCTGTGCATGGAATGCAGCTGCTCAACGAACCCGGGCATCTGCTCCCCGAACAACGATCCGCTGTATTGAGTTGGCTCTCGTCGGCGATTCAGGCGTACAAGGACGACGTCGTGGGGGTGAATGGGGTGAACCCAGCGGAACGCGTGCCGTTTCTTTATGTGAATCTCATCGAGACGATGGGCATGAATGTCGCTGACATGGCGGCGTGGATGCGCACGCAGTTCACTCCTCGAGAGCTCGAGCAGTGGGCGGTGTTGGACGTGCATAATTATTTTGCGTGGTCGTCTCTCACCGGTTGTGACGGTGGATGTCAGTTCAGCTGCCGCGATAGCCCAGCGGTGGTCGGACAGCGCGTGGCGGAACACGCCGAGGAATGGGCGAAGACATTTCGGCTGGCGGCGAAGACGTATGGGGTGCAGAACACTGCGTGCTCTGAGTGGTCGCTCGCGACGCTCGCCGACTCTTCGAGAATGTGTTCAAATAGAGAAATATTAGACGTCATGTTTCAGCGCCAGGTACAGGTGTACCGAAGCGCAGAGATCCAAAGTTTCTTCTGGGGATGGAAGATGCCGCACGGTGGTCCGCACACAAAGGCGTGGTCGTTGAAGGATTATCTTTCTTCGAGCACGGGGAAGCAGGATGAGCCGGAGCACGAGCTTGTGCCTCACGGCGTTGCTTTAGAAAGCACGCTCGCCATGCCCGAGGGTTCTAGCAAGGAGGATCGAGATCGTCTGATTCGAGCCTACAGCAATTTCCCTGAAAAAGAGGACGAGCTCGAGGATGGTCCCGATACTGTCAAGCTTCGCATGAAGGATATATTGCATCTCATTCAGGAAGCGGCTCACAACACGGGCGTGGCGGCGATTGGTCACGGAGGGAGTCGCACGGCAAAAACGGGGGCCGCCGAAGCAGCTGCGGAGGATTATTTGCGCGCGAGCTCAAAGTTGAAGGAGATTGTGGACACCGGAGCGTACGACGAGGATGATGACGCCGAAATCGTCGTCGTTCATCATCGTAAAGGACAACCGGAGGTGAGTAATCACGATAATGAGCACAAAGAGGAAATACCGACGGAGCGTAACGTCGTACCGGCACCGACTGCCTCAGTTGCGCCGAATATCTCGAGCACACCGCCCAGGGAAAACGCCACTTCTGCCGTCGGAGCGAAAGACGAGGCAGAGAAGCCTTCGACGAAGTCCGGCTCTATTGAGTCACTCTTCGACGAGTCAAAGACGCAACCGCCTTCACCTCCTCCGCCGATGCCTCCACCGCCGCCAAATCCACCGAAACCCCCCTCCAAAGAGGTTCTCGAAGCGCACAAGAAAGCCGCTGACACGCTGTCCGAGCTGGATTTCAGTTCAAACACAGCAAACATCGACGAACAAATGCTCTCGTCGATGTAGCTCAAATTTGTGAGGAAACAATTCTCTGTATCATTTATGCTACAAATCGCGTCTATCTAATATCTCGCGCACCCGCTAAGCGTTCAATCGCCGCGGGCTGACGTAGTTTCTCCATCATAGCTGGCGGGAGATTAATAAACATCTCAACGCCGTTCGCCCCCGCTGGTGTACCCGTCGCGCGATCGGGTCTGGAGCACTGAATCTGAACGATATCGTTCAGTTCCGGCGGAAGCGCTAAAGTCGGACCGCCACCTCCGAAATCCAAGTCGTACAACTTCTTGTAAATTTCGACCAAATTGTTGCACCAAACCATTTGTCCTTGCATGAAAGCCATAATGTCAAAGTCAAAGCCGTTCACTCCCGCTCGAAACGCGGCCTCGGTGAGCATCAAATATTTATTACGTCTCATCATGGCCTTCGTGAATCCTGGACGAAGACCATCCCGCACCTCTGCCAGAGACGAATAGTCACCGACGCTCACGCGACCAGTGACTACGCCGATTGCCGCGTTACCGAAGTACATATCGGGAAGTCCCGTTCGACCACCTCGACCACTCACGACCGTCACGTGCTCTAATGGCGTGCCCTTTGGAAGCTGACACAAATCTGCAAGGGCGAGCCACGAGTGCGCGCTCAGGGCTTCGTTGTCATTCGACGCGCCGGATGCCTCTCGCAAGAGGCGCATGTTGTCCTCGCTTATGCTCACCATCATTCGGTTCCCAGCTGGGAAACGAAGAAAGTCCGGGACCAGACGTCGTCCAGCGAGCAATGCTGTGCCTAGCATGGGCGCTGACGGTACGTTATCGAACCCTTCTTTCGAGAGCATCGCGCGCATTTCCTCCACTGACATGTCTGCCGCCGGTTGCGCGACGAGGCATCGATCGAATACCGGATCTCCCAAAGGATGCACCTCACCGTTTGACGCCTTGGCCCACGTCACCAAAAACTCGATGAATCCTTGTCCATCGCTTACGGCGTGAGACATGCACACCCCCAAGACGCTCCCACCTCCCGCGCACTGCGTCACCTTTGCAGTGAACAGCGGCGCATCTCCGAGCATGACGTCAATCCAAGGCGAGAAATCTAAAAATCTCCGCGTCTCGCTCGCGTAGTCCTGCGGCAGATCCGCAAACTTCAGGTCATCGTCACGCACGATGCGCAACGGCACACCATCGTTCGTGAGCTTCACTCCCTTGTTCTCCCACCCCGGCGTCCTCAAATCCAACCGTCCTGCCAGCATTGGATATTTCCCGAGCGTCGTCCGTAACCCTCGCTCGAGCACCCCAACGTCGAGCGTCTCCTCGTAGTAACACACCGCCTGCATCACGAATGGAACTTCCCCGACGTCGTACCCGCTCAAACCCTGCATCGGCGCCGCATCGTACGCTGCGCGATCCGTGTCCGGCGCTCGCACAGTGGCATTCTCCGACCCGCGCTCCGTCGCGCGCTTTCCGTCGAGAAAAAACTTCTTCGCCGGCGCCACCGCCGCGCGCGCGATGCCGCGCGCGACCGGGATTTCAATCAGTTTCGTGAAAGCACCGGCGTTGCGCGCGCACGCGTCGCCGCGTCGAGACGGAGTTGATTTTCTGACTGAGTTTGTCGATGTTCTATCATCGACGCCGAACGCCGTGCCGTGCGCGTGATGACGGCGCCGCGACGACGCGCGAGTCGCGACGATCGCAGCGATGTCGCGTGCGCCGGCGCACGACATCGGGCGTGTCGAGAAGTGTGGTGCGTACGTGCGGTTTGTTGGTGTTTTGGCGAGCGAAATAACAGTTTTACAAATACGACAAGCGCCTGCGACGACGTCATCGCGTGGAGGGGTCTCGATGGACGACAGCGCCGCTGGAAAGAATTTCTAAGTCGCTGTGGTGGATCGCTGTGACGGCGGGGTGCGACCTGGCGAGGGATTTGAACGCGTTGGCGCCGTAGCAGTCGTGCACGACGTTATCTCCGCCATGCGAAGCCGTCGTCCGAAACGACCCCTCGGCGGGTTTGGGACGACACCATGGCAAGTCTTCAGGAAGTTCGATCGGCTCCACGCGATAATCCAAGCACGGGTTCCAGAACCACGGCACGGAGAAGCGGGATTGCGTCGAGGAATTCCGAACTCGATGCGGCGTGGCTATCAAATATCCTTCCACGCGCGCCGGACGAAGGACGCGCGGCGACGAAGGCGTCGATCGGTCTCCGTCGACGCGCGATCGCGCGTCGAGGCGATCGCACGGAACCACCGCTCGTTGGCTATGCTTCTACTTTTACTTATTCCAAACACACGTCCTACGAAGCGCGCGTCCCGCGCGCGCGCCCGCCGCGCCCGGCCGCCGCCTCCTCACTGGCGCCGAATCGCGTTGATCTCGTCCGCGAACTGCTGCGCGATGTCGCTCACCTCGGCGCGAAGATTCGTCACCGCGTCCCTCAGCGCCTGCACCGGGGTCGTGTTCGCGTTCGTGTGCACTTTCAGTATCACGCGGTGATCCGTCGGGTGCGGGTTCTTGTACCCCGCGAAGACGACGTCCGGGTTCTTATGCAGCTCCCTATTCGCGCGTTTCCATCCTCGAGCGGTCAGTCGTCCGTCATCACGCGCACCCATCGTTCACGCCCGTCGGTCGCGTCCATCGGTCGCGCGAGCGCGCGCACACGACGCACATTCGA